CCACCCCCCCCCCAGCCTTGCCCCTTCTTGGGGTTATAAAGCAAGGCCAAGGTGGAGCTGGGGGCTCCTGTCCCCACCTGAAGCCGGATTTCTGGAAGCGCTGGATGTAGTACTGCAGCTCGGTGCAAATGGTTCTGTGTGTCCCCCCACCTCAGGGGCAGGATGAGTCCCCCACCTTCCTGTCCTTGGCTGAGAGTGCCCAGCGCCAGTTGGGTCGCATGTTGCGGTACCAGTTCAAGGGGCCACTGGGAGAGGGGATCTGGCTGGCGGGGGGGTTTTCCGGGAAGCCCACCAGCAGCCCCCCTGCAAGAAGAGGGGTGGCGTTGGTGCCGTGTCCCACCCCACGGCATCCCCACCCCACGGCGGGGTCTGCCCCCCGTTACCTCGCTCCTGGACCCCGTGGATGCTGGGGGCGGAGGGCAGGCGGTCCTGCGGAGAGAGAGGGGAGTGAGGGGCAGGTGGGGGCCAGCACCGCCCCCCGGGGGGAAAATCCATCCCCAGGGGGGGTCCCTGTAGCTGCCAGGGAGAGTTGGGGCTTCTCCCGGCCCCTCCTCGCCGGGAGCCAGCATCGATCGTCGCTGCATCCCAAGGGATACAGGAACTGGCTGCACAGATGCAGAACCAGGAGCAGGCATGGAACCAACAGTGTGGAGCCAGGAGCAGGCACGGAGCATCCCGAGGGATGCAGGAATCAACCATGCAGCCCTGGGACACAGAGCCCAGGAGCAGGCACGGAGCATCACTGCATCCCAAGGGATGCAGGAACCAACTGGGCAGCCCTGGGATGCAGAACTGGGAGCAGGGACAGGTGAGGGGCAGGTGGGGGCCAGCACCGCCCCCCGGGGGGAAAATCCATCCCCAGGGGGGGTCCCTGTAGCTGCCAGGGAGAGTTGGGGCTTCTCCCGGCCCCTCCTCGCCGGGAGCCAGCATCGATCGTCGCTGCATCCCAAGGGATACAGGAACTGGCTGCACAGATGCAGAACCAGGAGCAGGCATGGAACCAACAGTGTGGAGCCAGGAGCAGGCACGGAGCATCCCGAGGGATGCAGGAATCAACCATGCAGCCCTGGGACACAGAGCCCAGGAGCAGGCACGGAGCATCACTGCATCCCAAGGGATACAGGAACTGAACATGCAACCCAGGGATGCAGAGCCAGGAGCAGGCACAGAGCATCACTGCATCCCGAGGGATGCAGGAACTGACTGCACAGACACGGGATGCAGAGCTGGGAGCAGGGATCAAACATCACTGCATCCTGAGGGATGCAGGAACCAACAATGTGGAGCCAGGAACAGGCACAGAGCATCCCGAGGGATGCAGGAATCAACCATGCAGCCCTGGGATGCAGAGCCCAGGAGCAGGCACGGAGCATCACTGCATCCCAAGGGATGCAGGAACCAACTGGGCAGCCCTGGGATGCAGAACTGGGAGCAGGGACCAAACATCACTGCATCCTGAGGGATGCAGGAACCAACAATGCGGAGCCAGGAGCAGGCACGGAGCATCACTGCATCCCGAGGGATGCAGGAACCGACCATGCAGCCCCAGGATGCAGAGCTGGGAGCAGGGACAGAGCATCGCTGCATCCCAAGGGATGCAGGAACCAACAACATGGAGCCAGGAGCAGACATGGAGCATCACTGCATCCTGAGGGATACAGGAACTGAACACACAACCCTGGGATGCAGAGCCAGGAGCAGGCACAGAGCATCACTGCATCCCGAGGGATGCAGGAACCAACAACGTGGAGCCAGGAGCAGGCACGGAGCATCACTGCATCCAGAGAGATGCAGGAACTGACTGCAAAGCCCCGGGATGCAGAGCTGGGAGCAAGGATCAAACACAACCCTGGGATGCAGAGCCAGGAGCAGGGACGAAGCATCACTGCATCCCGAGGGATGCAGGAACCAACAACGTGGAGCCAGGAGCAGGCACAGAGCATCACTGCATCCCGAGGGATGCAGGAACCGACCATGCAGCCCCAGGATGCAGAGCTGGGAGCAGGGACAGAGCATCGCTGCATCCCAAGGGATGCAGGAACTGACTGCACAGACACAGGATGCAGAGCTGGGAGCAGGGATCAAACATCACTGCATCCCGAGGGATGCAGGAACCAACAACGTGGAGCCAGGAACAGGCACAGAGCATCCCGAGGGATGCAGGAATCAACCATGCAGCCCTGGGATGCAGAGCCCAGGAGCAGGCACGGAGCATCACTGCATCCAGAGAGATGCAGGAACTGACTGCAAAGCCCCGGGATGCAGAGCTGGGAGCAAGGATCAAACATCACTGCATCCCAAGGGATGCAGGAAACAACTGTGTTGTGCAGCCCTGGGATGCAGAGCTGGGAGCAGGGACGGAGCATCACTGCATCCCAAGGGATGCAGGAACTGACTGCACAGACATGGGATGCAGAGCTGGGAGCAGGGACGGAGCATCACTGCATCCCAAGGGATGCAGGAACCAACTGTGCAGCCCTGGGATGCAGAGCTAGGAGCAGGGACGGAGCATCACTGCATCCTGAGGGATGCAGGAACCAAAAATGTGGAGCCAGGAACAGGCACGGAGCATCCCAAGGGATGCAGGAACCAACAACATGGAGCCAGGAGCAGGCAGGGAGCATCACTGCATCCCAAGGGATGCAGGAACCGACCGTGCAGCCCCGGGGCTGTGGAGCCAGGAGCAGCCCTGGGCTGGCAGAAGGACATTGCTGTTCCTGGGGCGCTGTTATTTTAAACCACGAAGGTTTTTCACCCCGAAGGCAGACAGTAACATTGGCAGGGGTTAAGGAAGCACAGAGCACTGCGCTGCGAGGGCAGGGGGGGAGCAGGAGCCTCTGCCGGGCCGTGCTGAGACAGTCACCCCACAAATCTGCTCTTCCCCGGGCTGGGATGTCCCCCTCTTGGAGGCAGCACAGCTTTCTAGAGGTCTCCTCAACCCCTGCTCAGGGTCAGCTTTGAGCCCTGAAGAGGTGTGAGCCCTGCGGAGCTGCCCACGGGGATGCGTTCACTCTGGTCCCTACTGATGGCTGCCTGAATGCAGACTTTGCTGAGGAGGGGCAGCAAAAGGATGGCAGACATGGGGTGGAACATGCCTGAAGGTCACTATGGGGCCACCACAAAGCCACCCCTGAAGCTTCTGGCTCCTGGCGTGGGCAAGGTGGATGGGGATAGGGTGGCGCAGGCTGGAGAGAAGTGCCCCAACAAGGCTAGCAGGGCTTGGAGAAGACATCAGGCTGGGTTGGCCGTGGGGTGTGAAGCCTTCTGCTCTCCCCCCAGGCCCACCCTCAGCCCCACACCTACCTCCCGGCGCGTGGAGCGGATCAGGACCTTCAGGGTCCGGCCGATGTCCTTCTCCAGCTCCGCTTCCGCGACACCCTGCACAGGGGACAGGAAGCACCACGGGCGATGCCAACCCCCCCCAGGGACCCGACCCCCCCCGGAGACAGATCCCACCACCCACCAGGGCTTGGCTGGAGCCTGGGGATGGTTTTATTGCAGAATTCAACGTGGGAAGAAGGTCTTGGCAGGGCAACCACAACCCAACTCTGGGGCAGGTGATGCCCAGCCATGAGCTGGAGACCCCAACGTGGCACGTTCCCGTACCCTGGAGGGGTGGAGGGGGTTTAAGCCCCCCCAAAAAAGAGGGCTGGAGGATAAAAAACTGTGGTCCCAAACTCACCGCAGGGCAACCACAACCCAACTCTGGGGCAGGTGATGCCCAGCCATGAGCTGGAGACCCCAACGTGGCACGTTCCCGTACCCTGGAGGGGTGGAGGGGGTTTAAGCCCCCCCAAAAAGAGGGCTGGAGGATAAAAAAACTGTGGGCTTAAGATAAAAAACTCACTGGCTCCTGGAAGTAGAACTGGTAATCAAAGGTGGGGTAGGACTTCATCTTCTCCACGATGTCCACGGTGGGGTCGGCAGGGCGGTACGGGGTGTTCAGCGAGGCCACGGCTCTGGGACACCATGGGGGGGGACACACAAAGAGTCACCATCACCCCCCCCCAATTTGGGGTGCCCCGAGAGAGCGGGGATGGGGGGGGAACGGAGAGGGCAGGACCCAGGGTGACTGGAGGGACCTGGGGGGGACACAGGACGGGTCCCCGAGGAGCCACCCGCGTGGCGTGGACCCACCTCACCCTCTCGGGGTAGAAGAGGGCCATGTTCCAGACCACAGCACCACCCCAGTCGTGACCCACCAGCACCGTCTGCGGGATGCCCTGTGGGGAGGGGGGGCCATCAGTGCACCCCCACGGCCGAACCCCAGGGAGCCCCTCAAAATCCCCCCCAAAAGCATCACCCAGGAGCAACCAGCAGGTGAAAGAGGAGCTTTCCCTTCCCCCAAAGCAACGAAGAGATCAGAAAACAACAATATTTTCTCTATTTATTTTTTCATTTTTTCCCCCCCCCCCCCCCAGCCAGGAACAAGCATTACCTGCTCCCCTGGGGTAATTTGCTGCAACTTAATTAAACGTTTCAAGTACCTGAGCCCTCCAGAGGAAAGAGGTTTGATGTTATCAACCAGAAAACACGTCTGGAGGCTGCTCGTCCCCTGGGATCACCCAGAAAGGTCTCCCCCCCCCTGGCTGCCATCGCACGGGGTGACAGCAGGGGGAATATCTTGGTATAAATATATATAAAAATATAAATATAACCATCTCACAGCCGAATAAATCACCAGCCCCTCCGGGAAGGGGCTCAAAGCATCCCCCAGGGCTGGCCAGATCCTGCCTGGATCGTGCCAAGCTCACTATTCCCCCCCTCTCTCCTCTTCCCTCCAATTCCTTTTTCCTGACCCCTCTGGGCACCTACAAATAAATCCAATTAAAACCCGTGCTCCTGACGATGCAGCAGCCGGTTCATAATTAGCTGATATTTAGAAATGTAATTAAAATTCCCTCCCGGCGGAGATGGCTCGGGGCTGCCTCGGTGCCATCCGACGGTGGGAAACAGTGTCTGGGACCTCCCCCATCCCCAAGGTGGGGGGCAGAGGGTTTGGGGGGGCTCCCGACAGCCCCCACCTCCAATGTGGGGCTGGGGAAGGTCCCCCCTCCGTGCTGATGGGTTTCATCCCAGCACCATCACCGTCATGGTTCCTGGACCGTTCTGCATCTTCTGCATCCCAGATCTGGGCTCAACCAACCTGTGAAGCTTCATGGAAGTCATTTATCTTCCCTCAAAATACCCTGGGTTGGCCCGGGGGGGTGAGAAGGAGCCCCCCTGGGAGGGGAGAGGAGCAGGATGAGTCCTGATGGTGGCAGAGGAGGAGGGAAAACTGAAGACCTCACATCCCATCTACCCAGCTCACCCCGAAGCACAGCGGGTGCCGACCCTCTTGCCAACCCACGGGCACCTTTTATCCATTTTCCTTATCATTTTCAATCCAACTTGAAGGCAATTCCACCCCCACCTCCCCAAGAAAAAAATCACGGTGATTTATATTCCATCATAAATCTGTGACATCCAGCTTGGTCCCCTCCCCAAAAACCCATCCCTGCTCCGATGCCGGCACAAAACCACCCTTGAAAAAGCAAAGGAACCTTTCCATAACCTCGAGGGTTTTGCTCTTCCCCCCCGCCCCCCCATCTCATTTCTTGAGTTATTCTTTTTTTAGTGCCCTGTTTGGTGAAGGACTCGCTCCCTCGGAAGCGTTTTGGGAGGAAAAAAAGCCCTGCAGAGGTTGGCATTTGCGGGCTGCGCTCTCCTCCTCCGCTTCACCGCTTCCAAAAGGAGCAGAAACCCACCCCATCCCCTCCCCGGGGAGGGAACTAAACCCGGGGCCTCCAAACCCAATGCAGGGGATGTCAAGGTGACACCAGATTCCAGCCACGACAAGGGACAGCGTTGGTCCCCAGCCACCCCAGCCACTCGGGAGATGCTAAAGTTGGGGTTTAAGTTGGGGGGCAGAAGGGATGCAGCCCAGCATCCTTCTCCATGAGCATCTCACCACCTTACCAAAAGCCAAACCAGCCCATCTGCTTGTCCTCAGCAAGGACATGAAGTCCAGGAGAAGGTGACACGGAGCTGGAGACCCTCCCAAGGATGGGTTCTCCCCACCAGCAATGGGTTGTATGAACACCCCCACCCCTAAAATCCCACCCATGGGGAACACAAAGATGGGACTTGGTTCCCCCCCAAGGGGTTTGGACCAAAGTCATCAAAAAGCTGAGATGTCCCAGAATGGGACAGTGCCACCAGGGAGCTCAGTTGTCCCTGCGTGGGAAGGAAGAGGCAAAGGACAGCCCAGGGAACGCGCACCCAAACCTTGCCAAGAAGGAAGGACCCATCACAGGAGGTTCCTCACCAGTTTGTCCAGGAAAACCACCAGGTCCTGGGGGAAAGGAGGAGAAAAAGAGTCAGATCCTGCCCAGGCCCATGTCCCACCAGCCCACAGCACCCTCCACACCACGTTCATCCTGCCCTGCAGCTCCTCACCTTGCAGATCTGCTCCTGGGAATATTCTTCTATGTCTGCATGAAAAACATCAGCACCACCATTTTAACATCCACACGTTTCTAAGGATGGATTTATTCTGCATCCACCCGAGCTGCTGGAGGAGCAGAACAGCTTCCAGCCCTCCAGGAGAAGACTCCTCCACCCATCTCCTGCCTTGGGAGCGGCAGCTCCAACCCTGAAGGTCCCCGTCCCCCCTTCACACCAGCTCACCTGGTGGGGCTGTGGACTCCCCATAGCCCTTCATCTCCAGAGCGATCACCCTGAAGCCAGCATCAGCCAGAGCTGGGATCTAGGAGGGAGAGGAGCAGCCTCCAAAGGATGAGGAGACCCCCAAGACCCCATTCCTCCCTGATGCCACCACCCATCCTGCATCTGCCCACCCACCCATGGGTGGGTGCATGGAGGTGTGCCCAGGAGATGTTCCGAGGAGGGCAGACATGGCCTGGTGAGGCTGGAGAGTGAGGAACACTCCTGGACAGTGTCCTATGTCCCTCAAGGCTCAAGGCAGGGTGGTGGGACACCCCCAGGATGCCCTAGAGGTGCTGGCCATGGACCCCCATCCCACCTCCAGCCACTATGGTCCACCCTCCTCCCCATCTCCTCCATCACCTGGTAGCGCCAGGAGAGCCAGGACTCAGGGAAGCCGTGGCAGAGGCAGACGACGGGGCCATGGCCCATCTCCACGAAGTGCAGCTGGACACCAGGCTGGAAGGGATGGAGAGTCCTCAACGGCTGCGGGTGACATAGCTTCTCCCCCCAACACTCCACCCACTGCTGGCCACCAGGCATGGGAGACCACCTCCTCCTCCAGCCCAGCATCCCGGAGCCACAGGAGCATGTTTTGGCCCCTGGGGTGGATGGAGAAGACCTCAACGATGGGGTAGCTCAGCATCTCCCACTCAGAGCAGCCCACACAGGAAGGTGGACAACCCAACAAGCCACCTCTCAGCTGGCACATCCTTCCACAGGAGCTCAAACACCCTCCCCAGGATGCCTGGGCCACCCCCAAGCCCTGCCAAGCCTGGGGACATCTTGTCACCAAAGGCAGTCCCCTCCACCCTACCCTGATGGGCACGTATCCATGGGTCACGTTGGATGGATCACACGTGGTTGGGAGTGGTTCTTCTTGGGTGAGAAGCTGCGGGGTGAGGAGCACAGGGTGAGCTCCCGAGCAAGGCTGGAGCTCCATGGGATGTCCCCACCACCCTGCTGCTGGTGGGACATCATGAGTTTGAGATGGACACAGCTCAGCAGGGGATGGAGTTATTAGGAGGTGGGCAAGGTTTGCAGGAGATCCAAAGCCACCCACAAGTCCTGCACCAGCACCACATCCCAACAAAACACAGAAACTCAAGCCCATTCCTCCCGTCTCTCCAGGGATCCCCAGGAGAGCAGGGGACAGAGAAGACCCAGACCACCTCTACATGCCTGGACACCCGAGAGCTCCTCCAGCTCCTTCAGGACGGTTTCAGTGTCCCTGACGAGGATGGTGGCCATGCCCATCTCCCGGGCCGGCTTCAAGTTCTCCCCGATGTCATCCAGGAGGATGACCTGGAGATACATCAGAGAGAACCAGGCTCAGCACTGGGTTTGGCCAAAGACTTTGGCTGCTTGGAGGGACCCTCCGTGCCCCGTTTTTGGGGTGGTGGCCGTACCTCCTGCGGCTTTGCCTTGAGTGCATCCAGGGCGTAGACGTAGATCTCGGGGTCCGGCTTCTGCGCCCCGAGCCGGCAGGACTCGATCACCAGGTCGAAGTGACGGCGCAGCAGGGTCATCAGCGTGGCCGTGAAGAGCCGCCCACCACTGTCGTCCACCCAGTTGTTGGTGAGGACACCGGTCTTAAACCCTAGGGAAAGGCCCACCCCAGTTCTCCAGAGATGATTTGATTTCACCTCTCTCCTCCCCAGCCATGTTTCTTGGACCTTCTCAGCCTAAAATCCCCTATTTCTAAAGCTCTGTCTGGACCAGAACACCCCAGCAGGAGATAAAAGGATGCTCTGAGGAGCTTATGCCCAATTTGAACTTCCAGAAAACCAAGGGTCAACCCTCCCAATGCAGGTGGGACATGAGCTGGCATCCTGCTAATTGCTGATAACATGTCTAATGGATTTGGTAGCAGGGCCAGGAATATCTAATTAGAGGTGCTGAGAGTGCTTTGGTGATGGTGAGGGACCAACCAGGACCCCATGGAGGGACCAACCAGGGAACCCCGTTGTGGGACCAGGGATTGACGAAGGAAACCTGTGCTGGGACCGACCAGGATGGATCCCATGGTTGGATCAACCAAGGAACCCTGTGGTGGGACTCAAGAAAGGAACCCTGTGGCTGGACTGACCAAGGAATCCTGTGATTGGACTGCACAAGGAACTCATGGTGGGTCTGCCCAAGGAACCCTGTGGTGGGACTGACCAGGGATGCTGTGGTGGGACTGACCAGAAACACATTGTTGGACTGACCAAGGAACCCCGTTGTGGGACTGACCAAGGAACCCCGTTGTGGGACTGACCAAGGATGCCATGGTGGGACCAACCAAGGAACCCTGTGATGGGACCAACGAGGACCCCATGCTGGGACCAACCAAGGAACCCCACAGTGGGACCAACTGGAACTCTGTGGTGGGATCAACCGAGGAACCTTGTGATTGGACTGATCAAGGAACTCATGGTTGGACTGACCAAGAAACCCCATGGTGGGACCCACCTGGACCCTCATGGCACTTGTGTGGAAGGGGAGCAGCACCCTTACTCCAGCACCCCTTGCCCAGAAGCCCCCCCAGCACCCACCGTTCCTCCGCAGCACCCTGGCTGCCCGCAGAAGGGGGGCATTGACCGTCCCCTTGGCCGCCATCTCCTCGAAGGCCCGGGCGACGGAGAAGGTGGGCGGCAGGACGACGCCGGCGGTGGAGGCCTGTTGCCTGCAGCCCTCTTCCATCTCCGAAAAAAGCTGGAAAACACCCACAGAAACCATTTAATCGACCCCTCCCTCAAAAAAAATACAGCAATCAATCCTGGAGCTGCTCCAAACCCCCCGGTGATGCCCCAAGGTCTCACCTGGGACAGGGTGATCTGTCCCCTCATGGCTTTGGCGTAAGGACTCTCGGAGCCACCGGCCAACAGGACACTGCGCAAGAAATTCCTGCCAGGAAAAGAAGGGAGGGATGAGGTCCCCCCACCCCGATACCGGGGAGGGGACCCCAATATGGGGAAGGGTGGTGAGATGTTTCTCCAGGGAGGGAGGACGCTCCGTGGTGGGGACACGGAGCTCCATCCTCCCTCGTCACCCCGGAGCGGCGCTTCGTTACGGGGAAGGGGGGGGTTGTGGGGGGAAATCACTGCTCATTTATTTCCCCTGGCAGCTCAATTACTTTGCCCCGCAGATACGAGGAGCGGGGAGCTCTGCCAGGAACACAAGCACCAAAAAAAAAGAGTAAAAAAATAAAATATAAGGCAAAGAGCAAGGCGTTTCGTAAGGGCAATAATTCGCCCCTCTCACAAGAACACCAAGGGCCTTCTCGGGCAGCAATAAAATAAGATTAGAGGCACAAAGCTCTCCCCCGAGTCGATAAAAACACAGCTGGGTTAAAAATAAAGCGGCTTTACCTGTTCCAGCAGAATTCCCTGTCACTTTCGCCTCTTTTTTTAAACAGAAAGCGAAGCGAAAAAAGAAATAAATAATGCTTGATGGCCTGATAATCTGGGAATTTATGGCTCCATCTGCTCCGTGTCCTCCAGCATTGAGCTGTTTAATATTTCATTCTTTTATTTATTTATTTATTTATTGACTGCCCGCGCTTATTTATTTATTTTTCTATTATTTTTTTATTTTTTAACACCCACACACCACCAGGAAATCCCGGCGCTGGGGAGAGACAGAACCTGTTCTGCTCCTGAGCTGCTGGGGATTTAGTAATTCCCCAAATATTCCCCCCGATAAATGGGGCAAAGGGCTCAGGAAACTGCTTGGGACGCGCTTGGGGGGGGGCGCTTCCAATGCGTCGGGTTTTACCAGCTCATGCAATGAGTTGTGTCCAGTCTCAGCGCTGGGGCGGGGATGGGCTTAATTAACTGTCCTGCTTAATTAATTACAAGCTTCTCTTCATACTGCTTCTGCCAACGTCCCCTAGAGCGTTCCTGTCTCTTCGGGGGGTACTTTTAAGGGCTGACCCGCACCCCACACCCAGGATAGGACCCCCTTTACCCCCCCCCCAGCCCGCACCCCACATCCAGCGGTGGGGTGACCCCCCTGCCAGCTCGCACCCCACCACCGCCTGCACCTCACCCTTACCCAGGGACCCCCAAACTTGCACCCCACCTCCGGGACAGGGGGTCCCCAGCCCCTACCCCGCACCCAGCCCCCTCCTCCCGCTCTGGCGGCCCCAGACCCGCACACCCGGCGCGGGCGGCGGCCGCACACACGGTATTTAACGCCTCGTCTCTAGGTGTCTCCGCCCGAGCGGCCACTCGCCACAGGGAGGGAGGGCGAGTGCCGCCGGGACGGGCCGAGCCGGGACGGGCCGTACCTGGGCAGAGCGCAGTCCCGCTCGCAGGAGCCCAGGAAGTGCTGCAGGCCGGGCCCGAAGCGATCCACCCTGCCTGCACCCAGCGGCCTCACGGGGCAGGGGGGCACGGCCAGGACCGGCCACAGCGCTGCAGGCGTGCACACGCGTGTGCACACGCGTGTACGTGCACGCACATTCACATGTGCGCAGATGGGCAGGCACACACGCAGGAACACATGCACGCCTATAGGAACTTACACGTGCACACAAGCCTATGTGCACGCCTACATGCATGCACACATGCACACGCACATAGATGTACACGTGCACGTGCAAAAATGCATGCGTGCAAGCAGGCACATACACACAGGCATGTATGCACATGTAGAGACATGTATGCGCACATGCACACACACTCATGGACACACATACACATACATGCACAGACACACACATGTGTGCATGTGTGAAACACACATGTGCATGCTGAGTGTGTATGCACACCCCCAGGCACGTTGTGTGCACCGTTAAGCGTGTGTGTGC